CGGTAGTTGGAATCCTCAGAAGAATAGTTGGACAGGTGCAATCGGCAAGTTGGTGGACAATGAAGCTGACATCGGCATAGCCGCATTCACAATAACGAACGAGAGACTAAATCACATCGACTTTACGATACCATTGATAAGTACACAATACCGCCTCTATATGCATCAGCCTATCACGCCTTACGTGCAATGGTTCTGGTACTTTAAGGTAATAACGTACTTTATTTTAATGATCTAATATATTAATTAAAATGTATTGGCTGTATGTTAATCACAAGCTATAGTTATAAAATTACGGACTTTATGTTTATCTTGTGTTAATTTGTAATAAAATTAAAAATAAAATTACTAAACATCATTCAGTTACATCTTTAAAAAAAGAAATTTTAAAGTAATGTGTGTGTGTGTGTGTGTGTGTGGATGAAAATTTGTGATAAAATCTAGTAGAATAAATTATTTTCTTCTACCGATAAATCTTGCAGGTATTTAGTCCTGGAGTTTGGGGTACATTAATGATGATAATAATAATCGCTTCTATTATATTGACTGTTATTAAAACAAAAGGATTCTCGATGAGCCTAATGTCTGAGAACTATATTAAAGTTTGGGGTATTTATTGTCAGCAAGGTCTGCCAGGTAATGTTCTTACACAAGCAGAACAATAAGTCACATACACACATACACACACACATTCATCACGACATCAAAAAGATGGCAAAACTTAATGTTGTTTTTGTGACTTGTTGTTCCGCGTGGGTAGCTATTTAATATTTTTAATTAATATTTCTATCTAGCGTAATTTTTCTATTTTATTTGTGGTAACATTTTATATAATTAATACCTCGATAAATATCAATATATGTATATTTGACGTCAGAATAGAACACACATATACAGGGTACACTAAAAGTTTGAAAACGGTCGAATATCTCAAAAGGAAACCATTTTTTTAATAAATGTTTCAGACAAAAATTGTAGACTTTAAAAAGCTGTATTCATTGATCACATCCGTTTGATGTCCTGGAGTGGCGTTACAAAGGTCAGGTTAAAGTCAAATCGATTTTTTTTAATGGAACACCATATTTTTAATGACAGAATCTAATAGCTGAAGTCAGGCGCTTTTCAACGCGATCACAGAATTTCCCGTAGAGTCATCGATGAAGCTGGCTTTTTTTTCAATTTACGCTTCGTCGGTAATAATTCTGTCAACCTATTTCGCCTCATTGATCAGTTACTTGGCACTCAATACGGCTAAACTGCCTTTTTCCACTTTGGAGGGCTATGTTCAGGATGGTACTTACAAATTAATCGTTCTACAAAACAGTGCAGAATACGACATTCCTCTTGTAAGTCCTTCTTACTTATAACTTAAAAATTACTTTGCTTAATAATTAAATATATTACCTAATTATAGATTTTTTTGTTAAAGCGTTCGCGAATAAAAACAATTTCGCGATTGTACCAAAACAAGTTTTGAAACATGACATAAACGAGTGTTAGTAATTCATTAATTTTTTTGTAGAAAATTTGATAATTTTACATACAAGAGAACTTAAGGGGGTATTCTTTAAAATATAATGAATCGATCATAACTTTGAGAAAAAACATCTGCTTTTTCAGTTCTTAGTTTAATATGGCTTCGAACGTTGAGTAAAGCGAATGTTATTATGCAACTGATCATTTATTTTAAATTGTGTAAAATAATTTTACTTGCTAAAACAGATAGAAAAGGGGCAAAACCGAAGCTTGTTCATACGAATCATTAGAAGAAACGAAAATTTCGAAGTAAGCAACGCACCGCTGAAATGAACACGGAACTCGCCAGCACGTCGGCAAAAAACTTCGAAGTTCTGAAGACATCGACTTTATTATTTCAAAAGAATTCGGCTACTGAATTGAAAATTTCCTCATCGCTTTTCGACAATTGCGTCGCATTATTTGTAATAATTGCAAAAGTAAAATAATATAATGTTTTCTAAAACCGCTAGTGTTTTGAGTTTAAAGATTTACATACAGTGCAGTGTTGCAATGAAGTGCTAATCCCTTCATCTCCTTATATTAAAAATGCATACGAAATTAATTGTCGTATTGTATTCGTTATGTGGTTTTTAGGTGTTGGCAGAGAAGGTCTGAATTTATTTTGCAGTTTAATGGATATTCGTCAAGAAACAGCTTATAAAATGTATTATGACTGCCTTGAAAATTCATATCAAGTCTGTAGTTTAGATTATATTTAAAAAAAACAGAAGAATAGCAAATGAATGAAGAAGCCAGAAATATTGTAATCAGCTTGACAGTTGCGGTGACGAAACATGGAAAAAAAATAATTTTCTTTTTTATTTGGTGTCTCTATTCTTATAGGAAAATATTCGAAGAAAGTAGTTGATACTGTTGTAAAAAACAGCTTTTGTCAAGCATGTAATTTATTAAAAGGAAACTGCTCTATAAATTACAAGTGCTGGTAAAATGGAGACTGACACTATTACAGGGACGTTTTTGAGATCTGAGGACAAACATAGAGTTCGATACGTCACGTATATTGGAGACGGAGATGGTAGAACCTTTAAGGATATTTTAGATGTTAATCCATATGACGAGGAAGTTACTGTGAAAAAAGGAGTGAGTCGGTCATGTCGAAAAAAGAATGAGTACAAGACTTCGAGACATCAAGACTTCTACAAAAACTAGTAGCCATAAATCAGAAGTTAGAAGCTGGAAATTAACTAATCGCAGTCGTCAATTTTTAGCTTCTGACTTCTAATTTTTGACTAATAACTTATTGTAGAAGGCCCATTAGAAATGCGAAAAAGAATAAGAAAGATATCGACGTTAAAAGCGGGACGTTAACAGACACGGTTATTGGTGAACTCACAAAACATTGGCTCAGCTCTATATATATATATATATATATATATATATATTCAAAGATTATGACTCTCTTAAAGAAATGAGAAAAGAAATATGAGTACTACTTATAACCACAAAAGCTTTACGGATGATAAACCGTAACACGAATATTGCCCATCAGATGAAAACAGTTGGTGCAAGTGGCGTAAAGCCGAAACCACACGATTACTACAAAGCGGTCTACTGATGATAATTTTCATTTTCTTTTTTACATAAAAATTTCTACATATTGTTTAAATGTTAATAAATATAGAAAGAATCAATAACTTTTATGGGTTCTTCATAAAAAATTAAAAAAGAACTCAAAAATTACATCTGTTAAGGGTCATCTACATAGAAGTCGTATAAGGTCGTGGAGTCTTAAGTCGTAGGAAATCAATCAATCATAATCAAATATAAGGAGAATACTCGACTAGAATTAGTCAATTTCTTATCCTACGATTTGAAACTCTATGACTGTTTACGACCTCTATGTAGATAAGCCTTTACCGTAGAATACCCCCTTAATTTTTATTTATTCCCTATATATAGGGAGTATATTCTTAATTTTTTATATCCTCATAATGGATTACGGATAATAGTTCGTAAAAGACATTCTATCCCAATTATGTGTTATAATTGAAAGAAAAGCGCATTAATATATTTTTATTCAAATTATTATTTCTTAAATTTTGCAGTACACCAAGGACCCCTTATTACTGAAAATGTATGAATTGCGAGAGGATTATGATTATTTACCATTTAATTTATCTGAAGGATTCAAGAAAGTTAGTAATGTCACTTAATTAATGACATTAACGGTGTTAAATTTCTAAGTTGATTCATGCCAATTTTCAAATAGGTCTGCGAGAGGATGGATGTGGCGTTTTACACGACGGAGGTATTCAAAATGAGCATTTATATACAGTGTCAGGTGGTATACATTAATACCGGAAGAATCGATAATAATGCGATGACTCTAAAGAAAGGAAGTCCTTATACTCGCTTTATAAATTACCAGTAAGTCCTAAGTATAGTATACATATTTATTTATACTTTTTATCTTTTAAAAAACAAATGTTTTAAATATCTTTTCAATTTTCAGTTTGAGGCGATTTCAACTTAATGGTGTTCTAAATAAATTACAGAATAAGAATCCCTCAAAAATACCAATGAAGGGCATTATTGGTAATTTTACGGTCGATATAACCGATGTAACGCCGGTTTTAACAATTGTAGCAGGCAGTATGGTCCTGTCATTATTTATCTTGATAATCGAGAAGGTGTATTATTCATTTAAAACTCCGAACTCTAAGAATAATGAATCCGTTATAAAATTCACTTATAATCTTAATGTGAGGAATAAATTGCGAAAAGAATACCAGAAGAATGTAAGATTTTAAGAATTTTCTAACAAATCGATTGAACATTAGTTATAATACGTATAAAAAGTAGTTATAAATGCTATAGGGATTTATTGTCTGTTAAAGAATAGGGTGAATGCATCGTCTGTGGCCATTTTAAGCATTTCTATAAAGAAATTTTTTTTTAAATAATATAGTGGTGATCTTTTACAGATACGAATGATTTAATAGAAAGACCAATCAAATCATCTCAACTAGAATAACGCGTTGCTGACAATTTTGTTTTACAATTTGATACGATTTAATTGGTTGACGCAAGTTACGAGCTAGAGATCCTAATGCTGGAGTCCCATGAGGCGTATTTGCCGCGTGTCGCATAATCGCGTTAACAATCAGAAGCGATCCGCTGCTGTGATTTCGTGTCTTACTGAACACCTAGACATCCATTTTCTCGATGGCGAACATGTAAACAACACCTAGACACTTAATTCATCGACGGCGAACATCTAAACATTTAGTTTCTCGATGGCGAATACCTAGATACTTAATTCTCAACAGTGAATACGACAGACAACACCTAGATATTCAATTCCTTGACGATGATCTCGATTCTTCGACGACGAACATGCAGACAACACCTAGATACATAATCCTCGACAGCAAATACGACAGTCAACACCTAGACGTTCAATTCCTCGACGACGACCTCGATATCTCATCTTAATGTGCTCCGTGCACGTCACAGCCGTCATGTGTGGTTGGTGCGAATGTGCAATGCTGCCAACGATGGTTTGCTGGTTAAATCAAAAGCCATCTATTATCGAAAAAACGAACCGTACATACATTTCTCTCTGGTCGACGACGTTAATGATAATAACGACGTATCTTCAAAGTCAAAGATTCAGACTTTGAATCGCAATATATCCGCTTGTAGGACATGTAGAAAAAAAATAAAAGCACTTTTATTATACAACCCAAGCGGTGGCTATCGGTTGAGCGTATGTATATAGAACTTGATTGGATCAGCCATTACCGAGATCCGATAGTCTCAGTCTGCCGCAACTCGCTCGTTCGTGTAAAGGAGGCACGGCAGTGTCGCTGCGCTGGGTATATCTATCGTGAAATCCCATTTGCGCATTCAACTTTTCCTTCGGTCGTAAAAATATTACGTTTACTAGTTTGCAGAAATTTTTGGCTGAAGACAAGATTTTCAAGCCGGTTTATTTGTTTAACGTCATCCCAACTTTGGCGAATTTCTGCGATGGCATTATTATAAGCAATATGATGCTGAGTTTAGAAAAAATTCATTATCAATCGAGGAGAAGGCAACCGAAAGTCTTTTATCCTTCTAGAAAGCTATTTATTTAAAATATATAATTGAGATATATATATATAAAACTTACAATTTAATTTATTAAGAAAAAAAAGAAGAGATCTTTTTAGGAAAAAAACTTCTTCACCTCCTTTCTTTCTCTATGAATAGAAATTTTCCATTCGTATATGTATGTGTGTGTGTATGCTTGTAAATTTGTTACAGTTAATTATTATTTCAACTTTCTCCTTTACTCTGATTGAATGTGTTGTTTTTTAAAATAACGTATTTATTGTAATATATTTGAGTATTTATATTATTAACAATTTTGTAGTTTAGGTCTAATGATATGATTCTAATATAGATAGTGTATAATTATTTAAATTATTATGTTATGAGTAAAATTTACGATGTATTGACACTAAAATAAAATAAAAGTTAAGAGAAACACATTTTTAGGGAGAGAAAAAAGTAGAAGTTTCGAAAGTAATTTTTTATTTTAAATATTCCTTTACCTGCCTGTTATTCAATTTTTATTGAAAATTATTTTAACACCGCTACAACAAATTAAATGATACTTCAGATTATTGATATCAAGAAGATATCTTTCTCTGCTCAGCGCTACAATCCTTTTGCGAGACATGCACATTTAAATTTGCACCGATCTTCATATATCGAGCTGAAAACTAAGATGACATTTAAATGATATACCTGAAATAGCAACATCGAGCGATGCACAGGTAAATAACGCTGGTTGCGGGAGCTTAACGACGAATAATTTATCAGTGTGGTCGATGATAAAAGCCGTATCGTCGCGAATCTCGATATAATTTGTAATAATGCTGCCGCACATCACCCGGTGGCACTTTTTTGCACCCATTCCTAGACCTTGAAACCGATAAATCCTCGTTTACAATGACAGTTCTTCAGTCACACATTCGCACCCTTGAATTGCGGTACCCTTATTTCTTTCTTTAACTCTTAAGCAGCGATAGTCACGCTTTTTGATGAAGTACTCCGCGATTCATTGTTTTCCTTAGTAAGATTTCGGAATTAAAATACCGAATTCGCGTTGTGTCTCTCTCTATTCTTAGATTTGTTTTAACTCATACGATGGATAACTTCTTGCTTCGAATTCATTGTTGATTATTTATCGTGTACAATTGAACAAAGGGATCTATATTTTTTTACACAGTCGTTTATCTAAGTTCTTAATTTAAACCTGTACTTTACGAAATGAAATATAGGATAGTGCGATCGATTGCGATACTCTTCTTCCTGTTGGGTATCAAATCGTTGACAGAAGAAATAAGTACTAATAATTATTTCCGATTAATTAACGACGTCCATAGATATTATCGCACGTCATGTGTTATTTTCGTACAATCTGACAATTACGGTAAGTACCGAGAACAATTTTCAGCTATTATTTCTCATATTGTACTTCCAGCCAGCTGCCAAAAAGAAAGTTTTTGCAAACTTTCGAACAAATGTTGAATCAGAATTTCATGTGCAAATTAGTATTCTATACATTATACAATATTATTTAATTTGTAAGATATCTGTGGACAATATAGTTAAATTATATATTAATGAATTATTGTATGGTATAATGATTATCAATAATATATTATTAAATAATTCAACATAATTTTTTATTAAAAAATAAATAATTACGCGTAATGAAGTGTTAGATAAGGGAAAAATTTTATATAGATACTATTTATTTTTTAATAAGAATCTCATTTTTAGACCGTATATGTGTGAAAACAATCGATAAACTAGAAACTTATACCGGTCGAAGCTAGATCGTTTAATGCTTTAAATAATTTTAATATGAATATATTAATATTATATTATATATTAAATTTATTTATTTAATATGAATATTATATATTATATATTATATTATATATATAATGAAAAACTGTAAATAAATTTATTGCCAAAAATATTGCATCGGCCGGGAGTCAAACTCGGCCGATTATTCCAGTAGTTTAATTACGTTTATAAGTCTGGAAAACCAAATTCGGCGCGCACGTTGAGGAACTATAAATACGATATATATATATATGCTAGTTATAGCATGTATATAATTAACATTAAAACTATTTAAAGCTTTAAAAAATCTAGATTCGACCGTATAGGCTCCTAGTTTATGGAATTTTTTAATTTTAAGGGAAATTTTAATATTGTTGCTAAATAAAAGTACTACAAATAAATTACCACAACGTTTTTAATTTTTAAAACTCTTCTTCTTTATTTTATTAAATTCAGTAAAATGTAACTAAATAAAAAATTAATTAAATTAAAAAATTAAATGTCATCATCTCAGTTATGATCTAGAACTTAGAACACCTAGAAAATATCTAATACTGATATTAAGTAAATTATAATACCATTTTTTATGCAAATTTTTTATTGCAGATTTAAAAACCATGACATTTGTGCATACATTGTCGCGCGAACTCTCACGGCAGCAAGTCATGATCATGACCATAACTTTTTCGAATCTGACGAGCAAATATAATGAATATCAGAAGAATGTGAGGCTACCCTTATTTGTCGTTCTCCTCGATACCGAGGAGACAATGTATGAATTCGCCAAGACCACGAAGGGCATAAAACCCATCTCCTTCCCCATCTGGTTGGTTGTGTTTCTTCAGCATCTTGGAAACCCCCTCAAAGAGTACTGCACACATCCTGCCAATAACATATTCAACGTCGACGTCAGCACTCAGATGCTGGTCCTGTGCTACAATCGCCCGATCCTAGTCGAGTGGTATGCCATTCACGATAATTATACCAGAACGTTTGATCTGGCTACGTGGTCTCCTGATAGAGGTCTGATCCTAAGAACGCAAGAAAACCTCTACGCCAGGAGGAGCGATATGTTTGGTGATGTTGTACGCGTGACGATTGTGAATGTAAGTTTTCATCTTTCTCGAACTCCATTGTGCGTTGCTCTAACGTTGCGATTTATAGAAGGTCGTAAGCGATAACATTGTAAAAAATAATCGGAATGAAAAAAATTGCCTAGTAATTTGTCATGGAATCAATATTAGAGTTTAACGATAACTTCGTAGATCTGTAGACATAAATTGACTTGTCAATTCTGTTGATGAATGCTCGAAGAACTCGCCATTAGTCTCGCTGAAGAACGGTACGATGGGCGGATTTTTTGGTTTGCTACTGTTAGAGCTCAGCAAAGTGATGAACTTCACGATAAAGATTCTGGATCCAGTGGACTCATACGGTAGCTGGAATCCTCAGAAGAATAGTTGGACAGGTGCAATCGGCAAGTTGGTGGACAATGAAGCTGACATCGGCGTAGCCGCATTCACAATAACGAATGAGAGACTAAATCACATCGACTTTACGATACCATTGATAAGTACACAATACCGCCTCTATATGCATCAGCCTATCACGCCTTACGTACAATGGTTCTGGTACTTTAAGGTAATAACGTACTTTATTTTAATGATCTAATATATTAATAAAAATGTATTGGCTGTATGTTAATCACAAGCTATAGTTATAAAATTACGGACTTTATGTTTATCTTGTGTTAATTTGTAATAAAATTAAAAATAAAATTACTAAACATCATTCAGTTACATCTTTAAAAAAAGAAATTTTAAAGTAATGTGTGTGTGTGTGTGTGTGTGTGGATGAAAATTTGTGATAAAATCTAGTAGAATAAATTATTTTCTTCTACCGATAAATCTTGCAGGTATTTAGTCCTGGAGTTTGGGGTACATTAATGATGATAATAATAATCGCTTCTATTATATTGACTGTTATTAAAACAAAAGGATTCTCGATGAGCCTAATGTCTGAGAACTATATTAAAGTTTGGGGTATTTATTGTCAGCAAGGTCTGCCAGGTAATGTTCTTACACAAGCAGAACAATAAGTCACATACACACATACACACACACATTCATCACGACATCAAAAAGATGGCAAAACTTAATGTTGTTTTTGTGACTTGTTGTTCCGCGTGGGTAGCTATTTAATATTTTTAATTAATATTTCTATCTAGCGTAATTTTTCTATTTTATTTGTGGTAACATTTTATATAATTAATACCTCGATAAATATCAATATATGTATATTTGACGTCAGAATAGAACACACATATACAGGGTACACTAAAAGTTTGAAAACGGTCGAATATCTCAAAAGGAAACCATTTTTTTAATAAATGTTTCAGACAAAAATTGTAGACTTTAAAAAGCTGTATTCATTGATCACATCCGTTTGATGTCCTGGAGTGGCGTTACAAAGGTCAGGTTAAAGTCAAATCGATTTTTTTTAATGGAACACCATATTTTTAATGACAGAATCTAATAGCTGAAGTCAGGCGCTTTTCAAAACACTATAATAGACCTATAATAGAATAGACTATAATAGAATAGATCTTATTAAATCCCTACAACTTTTGTCTGAAACATTTCTCTCAAAAATGCTTTGCTTTCGATATATTCGACCGTATCCAGACCTTTGATACACCCTGTATCTTATATACAATTACATATATATATATTATATATATATATATTTTACGCGATCGCAGAATTTCCCGTAGAGTTATCGATGAAGCTGGCTTTTTTTTCAATTTACGCTTCGTCGGTAATAATTCTGTCAACCTATTTCGCCTCATTAATCAGTTACTTGGCACTCAATACGGCTAAATTGCCTTTTTCTACTTTGGAGGGATACGTTAAGGACGGTACTTACAAATTAATCGTTCTACAAAACAGCGCCGAATACGACATTCCTCTTGTAAGTCCATTTTTTCTTATAACAAAAATTACTTTGTTTAACAATGATATAGTACTTAATTATAGAATTTTTTGTTAAAACACTCGTGAATTAAAACAGTATCACGATTGTAGCAAAAAGATTTTTGAAATATAACAAAAATGAGTCTTAGTAATTCAGTAATTTTTTTGTAGAAAATTTGATAATTTTACATGTTAGAGAACTTAAGAGGGTATTCTTCAAAATATAAAGAATCCATGACCTTGAGAAAAAACGTCTGCTTTCTCAGCTCATAGTTTAGTATGGCTTCGAACGTTGAGTAAAACGAACGTTATCACGCATTGATTATTTATTTTAAATTGTGTAAAATAATTTTATTTGCTAAAACGGATAGAAAAGGGACAAAAACAAAGTTTGTTCTTGTGAATCGTCAGAACGAACGAAAATTTCGAAGTAAGCAACGTATCGCTAAAATGAGCACGGAATTCGTCAGCACATCGGCAAAAAACTTCGAAGTTCTGAAGACATCGACTTTATTATTTCAAAAGAATTCGGCTACTGCATTGAAAATTTTCTCATCGTTTTTTCGACAAATGCCTCGCATGTTATTTGTAATAATTGCGAAAGTAAAATAATATAAAGTTTTTTTAAACCGCTAATGATTCGGTTTTCAAAATTTCCATGCAGTGCAGTGGTGCAATGAAGTGCTAATCCCTTCATCTCCGTATATTAAAAATGCATACGAAATTAATTGTCGTATTGTATTCGTTATGTGGCTTTTGGGTGTTGGCAGAGAAGGACCAAATTTATTTTGCAGTTTAATGGATATCCGTCAAGAAACAGCTTATAAAACGTATTATGACTGCCTTGAAAATGCATATCAAGCGGCGTCGGTAGTTTTGTTTACTTTTATATTTTTAAAAATGCAGGAGAAAAGCAAATGAATGAAGAAGTCATGAATATTGCAATCAGCTTGACAGTTTCGGGAGATGGAATATGGAAAAAGGATAATTTTTTTTGATTTAATGTCTCTGTTCTAATAGGAAAATATTCGAAGAAAGTAGTCGATACTGTTACAGAAAATAGTTTTTGTCAAGCATATTATTTATCGAGCAAGAAGAAGTATGATAACATTGATGGATATAATGATTGGTGCGAAATTCGTGAGGAAAACTGCTCTATAAATTACAACGGCAGTATGGGTGAAATGGAGATTGACGCTATTACAGAGATGTTTTTGAGATCTGAGGGGAAACGTAGAGTTCGATACGTCACGTATATTAGAGTCGGAGATAGTAAAACCTTTAAGGATATTTTACATGTTAGTCCATATGACGAGGAAGTTACTGTGAAAAAAAGAGTGCGTCGGTCATGTCGAAAAAAGAATGAGTACAAGACTTCGAGGCATTCTACAAATCCAATAGTCATAAATCAGAAATTAGGAGCTGGAAATTGACTAATCACAGTCTTCAATTTTTAGCTTCTGACTTCTAATTTTTAATTAATAACTTATTGTAGAAGGCCCATTAGAAATGCGAATTTTATTTGTAGAGAATATATAAATTTAATTTTTTTAATCCTCATATAATAGAGTACGAGTAATAGTTTGTAAAAGACGTTCTATCCCAATTATGTATTATAATTGAAAGAAAAACGCATTAATATGTTTTTATTCAAATAATTTCTTAAATTTTGCAGTATACTAAAAATCCCTTATTACTGAAAATGTACGACTTGCTGGAGGATAAGGACTATTTACCGTTTAATAATTCTGAAGGATTTAAAAAAGTTAGCAATGACACTTAATTAATGACATTAACGGTGTTCTAAGTTGATTCATGCCAATTTTCATATAGATCTGCGAGCGGATGGACTTGGCGTTTTACGCGACAGAGGTGTCTAAAATCGACATTTATATGCAGTGTGAAGTGGTATACATTAATACCGGAAGAATCGATAATAATGCGATAACTCTAAAGAAAGGAAGTCCTTACACTCACTTTATAAATTACCAGTAAGTCCTAAGTATTCATATTTATTTATACGTTTTATCTTTTAAAAAACAAATGTTTTAAATATCTTTTTCAATTCAATTTTCAGCTTGAGGCGATTTCAACTTAATGGCGTTCTAAATAAGTTACAGAACCAGAATCCTTCAAAAATTCCAGTGAGGGTTATTAGTAATTTTACGGTCGGTATAGCCGATGTAACACCGGTTTTAACAATTGTAGCAGTCAATATGATCCTATCATTATTTATCTTGATAATCGAGAAAATGTATTATTCATTTAAAACTCCGAACTCTAAGAATAATAAATCCGTTACAAAATTCACTCACAATCTTAACGTGAGGAATAAATTGCGAGAAGAATACTAAAAAAATCTAAGACTTCAAGAATTTTCTAACAAATCAATTGACCATTAGTTATAATGCACATAAAAAATAGTTATAAATGCTGTAGGGATTTGTTGTCTGTAAAACAATACTTGCAATAATATCTGCGTTTATCAATTTATTTAACACATTTAACAAAATATTTCAAGTTATATTTATATTTTGGAAAGAACAAATTTTCTACACAAGTAATTTTAATTTACTATTATTTTACTTTTTCGCAAAATGTTGCTGCAGATTGCATGCTTATATCTCGCTTACACAAATATAATTGATAACATAATAATAATAACTGAAATAATAGTATTTTTATATTAGATTATAATTAAATAAGAATTTACAATGATGGAGATACTTGAAAGGTTATAAAGATGTATTACGTGGTTAAAGGCTGGATTTTCCGGCTCTCTAAATATCCGAAAAATCGCCAAAGTTATTCGGATTACATATTTGGCTGGAGGTTGTTCGAAATATTTTAAAAATGAGAGTTGCTACTCCGTTTGATATGCAATGAATTCTAGCTTTTCATGATAACCAATAAATTATATACATTTGACTTTAAAATACTCAATTGTACTTGCCTTCTGTATCTATTTCTGCATCCTCTGTTATACGTAATCTCCTGTAACGAAGACGATCTTTTGTGGCTCTAGTAAGACGAGCTTGTCAATTTACTTTGCCACTTACTCCCCTCTCATTCAATATGTTTTTCTAATAATTCCAAAGATTTTTTCAGAAGTTTTTAAGATGCACATTCCAACTCTCGTCTAATTTTTTTTTTCGAAATGTATTCTTTTAAGAATTTTAACCATTTTTTTATATCGGGCAATTAAATTTTCTTATGTATTATTTAATTTAATATCTAATATTTAATATAATAAAATAAATGTTAATGTGGCTCAATTAGAATAAATCAATAAATAAAAGAAGGGCAACGAGCCAATTATAATGTAAGATATTTAATAATCGTATATATACAAACGTTTCGACACCGATCGGGTCATTTTCAATGTAAAATAACAAACACTCTTACATACATTATCGGAAAATTCGGTCAAATTATAATGTCCAGTGAAAAATTCGATTGTATTCATAAAATGCGGTCCATATGTAATACTATCAAAAGAGATCACATCTCACTTTTCGCAATTCTACAATCTCAATAATAAATAATATTTAATATTTTTACGACCGACTGCTGCCAACCGAAGGTTAGCGAAAAACGGAGGGAATATGCGTTTCACCGAGACAGATCGATGCTAACCGATAATATCCACAACTACAATGTAAGTCGAAATTTATATTAAATAATTTGTTTTAGGCTCATAGCCCTTCTTTGTTACATTATTTAATATTCATAAATTGCGATTATACACAGTTGTAACAATTTATATCTACATAAAAATTGTTGCTCCATCTAATATATTTAATTCGCTGATTTTAATAAAAATTTAATAAAAATTGTGAATATTCACACTATCAATATTATCGGCAAGCGGAAGTTCATCCGCAGCTTGCAGTTTCTTGCAGTAGTCGATTCTATACACACTCAGGTAGCATAGCTTCGCCGGCGGGCGCAACGGATGCGAGTGAGCACGCGCTTACATTTCCGCTTTCTGTTTGACCGGAAGTGACCTTTGCTTCATTAGAAAAAACCTGCACGCACGCATCAATCTCGAGAGCTATCCCATATGCAGTGTATTGCTTCGGTATACATATATGTACAATGTGAGTCGTCTTTACCGTTGCATCGAAGTTAGCAACAACGACGTTGATTATCGATTACGGAAATGAACGTGTCTTCGTGAGTATCAATCAGTGATAAATTAATCGCAAATAGCACGCGATGGCTATAGCGTGACAGCAAAATAGCTTCTTCTATTACCGACCCCGTTAAGTTGTAATTATATGGCAAAGTAAGCCATTTTTATCTTCTTTTAATGCCAAAGTACGAGGCAAAGTTTCCAGTAAACGAGGATGGATTGAAATGGATTTAGATTTTCAGAAATACGGATTCACGCATGTTAAAATGAATGCTTTTCAATCTTGAATGCATTTTTATTTAGTTATAAGAATTGTATGAAGCAAATGTCTATGTTTTTTCAATCCTAAATGCGTTTTTATTCATTTATAGGAATTGCATGGAGCATATCTCTATGCCTTTCAATCTAAAAATAATATCATCTTTTTCTGTGCATCGTGTAATGTGCCCGATGAATACAAAAATTTGTAATTGAGCTCCAAATTGTATTTATTCAAAATTTTTACATAAAAAAATGTAATCATATATTCATTCAAAATTTTGGGTTTTCTAAAAATATTTATTCACAAAAAAACTATGAATATTTAACGAGTATTCATATTCATTCAAACAAAATATAAACTGAAAAAGAGAGCTGCTATAAGTAATCGTTATCCCTTAACTTGATGACTTAAAAAAATGAATTTTATTTATTTTTATCATTGAAGTATTCAGATTTTATGAAGGAAACTTAGAAATTTTGGAAAATATTTTAGAAAGCATTTTTTATTTATAAATATTTATTTGATAGAGCACCATACATATTCCGATATAATTCCGGTTACATCACGGTAATGTTAAAAAAATTGGCTGTTGCAGCCAATTAAGAGTGTTATGCCATATTTTGCCATCTATAATAATTTGCTGCAGCAGCCAATCTTTTTTTTCAGTGTAGGAAATGCAGTTTTTCAATCCAATTGCATCCAATTGAATCTAATTGAATTCAAATGAATCCAATTGAATAAAAAAAAAGTTTTCGCTATTTAAAATACACATTCGGATAGACAAAATTTCAATCCATTTTAATCCATTCTCGTTTACTGGGTTCTACACCAATGCCTATTTCTACCAATGTAGTTTAATTTTAATCTCAATTCATCTCTTCATTTTTTTCTAGTTTTAAGAATTAAAAAAGATAAAGAGTAAATTGAACTGATATAAACCTTAGCTACATTGATAAAAACAGACATAAGATAAAGGACTTTTTTCTTCTCAAATGCTTCGAGCAATGCGAACTTGCAACCGCAACGGCCTTGATCGCAATCATAAGAAGAACCGTAGTGGCTACGGAACATGACAAAGAAAAGTATAACATTCTGAAAATATTGATAATTTTAATAATTTTTCGACGTCACTTTACTACTATTCTAGTTAATAGCTCATAAACTCGCTAATTTGCTTTCTGCCCCATCCAAATATTTCCAATCCACTTTTTTTTATTCTTAATTCTTTTATTTTTATTATTAAATTTCTAATTCGTCTTTTAGAGCAGAAAAAATGTAGAAGATAAATTTTGCCATTTGTTTGCTGCATTTTCCATTTTGATAAAAAAAAAGGACTTGATGCGACGGTACTATGAGACGATTCGAGGTGCATCTTCGGTCGAACGGCCTCGAAATACATTCCAAAGACATGATTGTCTATTATTGTTTGCGATCGACGTCTGCCGTTCCAGAAGGAAAACAAGATTCCCTGACTAGCCCCTCTCTTGTCGTCACAAGTGGTAACCATTGTTGATGGTTGTGTCATCTCTAGACTTGTCCAGAACGCTATCGCAATAATAAAAGAAGGAAAGAAAGAAAGAATATTTCTGCAATCAATCATAACAATAACAATAATTGCGAAGAAACAATAATGTTCGATAACAACGATTGTTATGGAGGTAACAATGATGATGATGACAACGGGTGAGGTCTTGTCCAAGAAATGAAGTCGCGCAATGTCTTTGAGTTTCGGTAGCGTTTATTGTAAATGACTTTTTCGCGTTACATAAATAGGACAGAATAATTTTTTTATTTAGGATTTTATAAGATTTTTACATATAAAAAGAAAGAAATATAAGGTATATTTAAATATATTACACAGTATACGAATACATAGATATATTTATGTATTAAAAATTATATTTAGATGTGTAATTATTTATATTAAATAGATATTTTCGTTGAATAGAAATTTAATGAAATAAGAACACACTATATTGATATATTTTTATCTAATATTTTAATATTTTTCCGAATATTACATAAGAATCAACTATCTCTTTTACTTAATTACAAGTATTCGTTACACACTCAAATAGTTTCGAAGAATTCAATTTCTAAGGCAGCCTAATACTAATTATTACAACAACGTTTCTGCTTTAACGAAGACGATAATTTGCCTCCGACGAAATGAGAGGCTTGGTAGCTCCTTCAGTAAATTCACTGAGACCTCTTCAGCTACTGCGAAGCTCATTAACTTGTCTAAGAGCGTAGGAAGGTGTTAGCTACGTGCTGGATCATTTGTCCTTATGCAACATATCGAATGATGAATTTTAGAGGAAGCAACAGCGATCATCGCGACAGGAACGAAAATCATAATTCCAATAAGAACGTGGGTCGTTGTCCCCGATATATTGGGATCGTGATCAGGAATTATTTAACGGTTCGTTCTGTTATTAAATTTAAAAGAGCGTCTGAGATAACTTGATTAGTCTTTGTAGATAAGCTTTGTAGATAAGCTGCTCATATTAATTTTTTTTTTCTCCTTACGAACTAAACGATACGGTTAGTAGGTCGTAAATAATTGATATAATATGTGTTATTATATGACAGGATAACAATAATTAATTTTTATATTTATAGAAAATAATGAAGGTATTATTCTATCATTAATTCTAAAACATTTGATAGCACTATTACTAACATTAAATTAGTAACATTAAACTAGTATAGTTATTAATTTGCAGATTAAATATAAGTGCAGATTATATATTAATACATGTATACACATATATATCATTGATAATTAGAAGTTCGATATAATTTATAATTCTTTATATACTTATATTCACTGTGTGCGTATTTTCTCTGATTTAAAAATTATATTACGAAAGAAAACAAGCTTAATTCCCCATTCAGATCGTATTACGCTAAATAATTATTTTCTAATCAATTAATATCTATGTTTACTCTTGTTGGTTTTATTACTTTTCATTTGTCACGAATAACGTGATGGTCATTCAACA